CCCAAGGCGCCGGTGGGGACTGCTCTGCCCTTCTGCCTCATCCTCTCCATCACTGCTGAGGTGGGAAAAACCCGGCAGGAGGGAGCTGACGGGTTTCTCCAGATGGTGCCCCGCTGACCCCAGCCGTTCCCCGTCTTCGGCTCTTCCTTAGGAAAACACGGCGCGGGCCAGCCCATCAATTAATGGTTTCCTCATGTTCCCCCCGCACAGCCCACGTGGGAAGCTGTCTCCCTGTTCCCCAGGCCCTGCTGAACCGAGCCCCCCTCTCCCCAACCCCGCAGCCCGCATGGTGCTGGATATCCCGCGCACAGGGGGAGCACGTGTGTAACCAGGGAATGGTGCCCTCGGAAAGATGAGCGGACAGAGAGACAGGTTGGATGAAGGAATAAATGAACAAATGAATGAATGACACGGTGATTAACTCTGATGTAGTAAGTGCCCCCTTGGCTTGTAAAAATACGCTTGGCACTTGGAAGAACAGCACATTTTTTGCTGCTTTGCAAGGACAGGAGGGGCTGGAGCAGCTGCACTCCCCAAACACTTGTTTGACATGGTCACAAGTGGGAAAAGTCCACGCTGCCCTGGTCCTGCAGCCCCTCTGGGTGTGTGGAAGAGCCCTAGTTGGGACTGGGAGAGCATGAGAAGGGATGGGAAATGCAGAGGCTGAGCTTTGCTAAGGAAGCAAAATTTAGGACGTTAACAAGGCTTGTGGGGGTTGTAAAGAGCCGAGTAAAACACCGTGCTTGGGCAAGGGATGGTGGACAGAGGGCTGCAGTACCAAGGGCATGGCAGAGTCGGGACAGAGGATGGAGCACTGAGCAGGTTGGTTGGACAGGACACCACACCTTGAGGACTGACAAAGGCCACTGTTCCCTAGTACACTGTGTCCAGAGGAGGCAAGGTATGACCTTTCCATGTTATTAACAACAGAAGCAGGGAGAGTACGGGCTGGCAGGGCCACCAGCACTGCTCCCAGACAGCTGGAGCCACTGCAAAGAGCCACGTGGATCTGCACTGCAGAATGGAGAGAAGTTGCTCTGCATACCAGGGAGCACCAGGGGAATAAGGAGAGCCAGGACACAAGGTCAGACCATGATAAGGGGCCACACAAGTAGGTCTTGTCTCACCAAACAGGTGTTGCCCCTTCTTAGAGGCTCAGCTCCTCACCAGGCAGCTTGTTCCCAGAGCCCAGCACTGAGCTGTGCCCCACTGGCCAAGCAGGATGCTTTCTGCTTGACCATGCTGCACCTGAGGAAGGTGTTTTCCTGTGGGATTCAGTCAACTTTTATTTATGCGGACTTTGGTTGCCAAGAGCAAAATGATGGAAAATAATCTACATATGAATCCATCTGTCTGTCCACTCAGGTTGCGGTTCAGCTGTCCAGGCTCCTGTGGTCTCTCGTGAGTGGAGCTGGCTGGACAACACAGAAAAATAGCATTGAGTTTTCTGTAATATTCTCACATTTTGTGTCTTTCCTTGGCCAAATTCTGGGTTTTCATGAAAAATGTCCACTGGCGCATTGAAATGAGAAAAATTTCAACCAGCTGCAAAATTCAGTCCCAAAGCGGGGCGGGGGGGGGGGGGGGGGAGGCGGAACTTGCAAACCTGGCCTCTCTCTCTGCTGCCGTTGAGTCTCAAACATTTTGGCCCAGCTGAAGACTGGGAAAAGGCCTGTTCATTACAAACCCAGCGATGGAGATGTGCGTGGTCGTTTTGGCCCTTCCCGCGTGGGGACGAGGCATCCGCTGCCGGCAGCAGCCGGTCCCAGCACGGTGTTTCCCAGCTCTCTGGGCTCATCCAGCTGCTGCACGGGGGGAGAACCGCGCTCTAGGAAATGGGAGTGCACTGCAGCGTGCCAAAGTCCTTTCAGACCCTTTGCTGAATTAATATTTTTTTCCTTGAAGAGCTATTTTGGAAAACATATGCCTTTGTAGTGGTAAGGCAACTTTGCGCTGCAGGATCTCTTTCTTGCCCTTGCAAAACTGTTGGCTGTAGCCACCACGACGTCCCCTACTGCCACCTGAGTCCTCCTGTGGCAGCAGCCGGTGGTGTCAAGCACTCCCCAGTTCCAATAGGGTGGCCGGGGCTGGGTGTGTGTGGGTGGACGTGGCAGTGCCCTGGATTTGCAGCTCCCCCAAACTATGCCTGTGTCACCAAGCCCTGCCCAGAGCTGCAGGGCAGGATGAGCAGCATCGCTGACCAACCCTGGGATGCCTCTACTGCCCTGGCACCAGCTCAGGGTGGCCCTGCTGCAGTGTCCCAGGGACTCCAGAACCCATGTGCAGTCCCTCTTTTCCAGCTGACTGTGCCAGGAAGAGGAAGAGGAATAACAAAAGTGAATTCTTGCTTTGGATGCTGAGGTGGCATAAGCAAGGGAAGTCAGGAAAAGTCCTCTAGGCATCAGCCTCAGTGAAGTTGCAGTGGCCTCCTCCAGTCCTTTGGCCAGGATTTTAGGACATTTCCCAGCCAAAGGGGGGGAGTTCTTCTCCTCAGCACAGACCATGGGATATGTGGTGGTCTCTGCTCCTCCTCAGCAGGACACTGGGATGCCAGCTGGGAGCCATCCCTTCTCAGCAGTCCCAGATGGCAGAGCTGAAACAAGCGGGAAGAGCCACCTGGGAGGATAAATGGAAAAATGGAGAATGTCAATCGCCAACTCCAAGTTCCTCAAAGAGTTTTTGGTGCCCCAGTTCAGTGGAGGAGAAATCAGGTGCCAAATGAAACCCTGGGGTCCCCTGACCCTGAAGGCTGTGCACAGCACTTTTGGGGAACACAGGCACATTGTGCTTCTCCTGAAGGCTGTACTTGCTTTCAGAGAGCACATGCTGCTGAAGCCCTGCCCTGATGGGTATCCATGCCCATGGAACAGTGCTGCTGCCCTGCTCTTTCTTGGGCTGTGGTTGCTGAGAAGAGGGGCCAGAGAGTCCCCACAGCCCCTGGGGTGATGCTGAGCAGCCCCGGGGTCAGTGGGGATGATGCTGATGAGAGCCCTGTCCTTGCACACCCAAAGGGTGCTCCACCACTGACTCCTTGTGAGCACCCCTGTGCTTATCCAGAGAAGCTGTGGCTGCTCCATAACTGGGAGTGTTCAAGGCCAGGACTTGAAGCAACCTGGTGTAGTGGAAGGTGTCTCTGCCCATGGCAGAGGGTTGAGTGAGATGAGCTTTAAGGTCCCTTCCAACCCAAACCATTCTGTGATTCTTTGACTGTTGGGTGCATGGGGCTGCAGTGAGCCTGGGGCAAGGGCAAGTCTGGTGGGAGGAAGAGGAGAACTGGGTGGCCCAAATACTTGGAGACCCATCTCATGGTGGAGGCCAATGGTCTATGACAACCAAAAGAAGAGGAGCCAGGGATGGAAGGGTCTCTTCAGCTCAGCTGGAGGAAGGAAGAGGGTCTGTGTCAGGAGTGTGGATAGGACCAACTCATCCAAGCCCATGTGGTCCCACATACCCATTGCCCCTCAGTTTCTGGCCTCTCCCCAGCTCTGCCCATGCCCTTTGTAGGCACCCCAGTACACACAGGACCTGAATGATGGCACTGCAGGCCCTCCATGTCTCTGAAAGGTCTCCTCTAGCATCTCCAGCAGCTTCACCAATGCACCTGCATGTCCACACAGACATCCCCCAGGACCTAGATCCTCATTCCCCAAACTCCCTTGTCCTGAAACCCAACAGTGCTCCAGCACTCTCTTCAGCTGGAGGTTCCAGCACCACCCTGGGATGCTGAAGCCCAGAAGCACCAGACCACCCGTGGGATGGGATGTCCACACAAGCTGCCGTGGTGTGAAAGGGCAAAGCTGACTCCTAAAGAACTGGAAGACTCTGATGTGGGCTACAACACCTCACTGAGCCACTCAACAACCAAGGCAAGGTTCGTAGGGAAAGGAATATCTATCATCAGAGCACCTACTGTTTCTACTCATATTTATTAAGCCAAGACCGCTACAATCTCAACATGGGAAGATACTGGTGTCTGTTTAACCAGAGACTTATACACGGTGAAGAAGATATAAAAGACTAGAGGTGGATCAGTGAAAGCTCTTCTCTCTTCCTGCCACCCCTGCCTTGTGCATCTCCTCGGACAGCCTTGGCCACAGAAACACTTCCCAGGAGAGCACGCAGTCCGGCTGGCTCTGAAGGGGCACACCAAGGCAGATGGACACTTGGTGTCATCTCAACAGAAGCAGGTGGAATTATGTCAGTTGGTACCAGGTGAGAATACAGGGGCATAGAGCTGGCTGGGTGGACGATGATACACGATGGCTCTGCTCAGCCCAGGTTCAGGGGGAGAGGGTGGACGTGGGAGGGGAAAATGGGTGTCTCCAGGCCTTTCCCACTGCGTTGTCTGGACTATGCCCCAGGACAGGTAAAAATGAGGGGTTGAGCAGTCTGTCCCTTTCTCCCTGGTGGCCACCAGCCCACTGCCAGGGCCTGGCACCTCCCCATGGCACTGCAGCACAGAATGGGTCCAGCCAGCAGTGCTGGTCCATGTGAACCCAAGGTCACTGGGGAATCAGGCCTTGCAAAAGTTCATTTGTCCTTCCTGGTGGAGCTCCTGGGGCGGGTGGCTGTGCAGTGCTGGACAGTTTCCACTCATCCTCCCTGCAGGCGCATCAGGGTGAGGGACAGGAGGCTCTGACCTCCTGTTCCTCCTGGGCAAGGAGAAAGGCAGACAGAGGTCAGACAGCAGCACATTTTCAGTGTGAGGAAGAGTCATACCCTGGATGGTTGAGAAGGGAGAGCTCTCAACTCAGATGTCAACACCGGGCCGGAGACAACTGTGTTAAAGGCAATATGAAAGCCTATAAAGCGAGTGCTACGGACACCAATCCCCTCTGAGCTCCTTCCAGCGACAGGCACCCACAGGACCTTGCTCCACTTTGCTCCTCATTAAAGGTTTGTCATTACTGCATTATTTTTAATACACACTTAGAGAGAAAGCCCAACACGCACACCCAGCCGTGCACACGCACACACAAAGGGAAACCATTGCCAAAATATACACTATAGACAGAGAGTCCGTTCACACTATATATATGTACAGAGTCTGTGGGCGCAGTCTGACAGTGCCCAGCCAGGCTGGGGCTGAGCACGGGGTGGGGACAGGATGGGTGGAAACACCTCAGGGCTTCACACACTTCCCCTTCTTCTCCCGCCGCTGCAGTTTCCGAAGGCGGCGTGTCCAGGCGTCCCGCCACTGGATGACCAGGCTGTTCTTGTCGGCCATCAGTCCAGGCCGGTCAGTGGAGTTCTCACTGATCCCCATGACCAAGTACTTCTTGCTGATCTGGATCTTGGGGCACTTGCAGGACAGGTCTTTCAGGTGAATCCACAAGAAGTTGTCGCCGCGCTTGACCCGCTCGTCACGGCACTTGTAGACAGAGAGGATGTTGATGGTGAACTTGGCCCAGTTGGCCACTGTCTCCATTTCTAGGATGTTCACCTGGACCACTGAGGGGAAAAAAGGGAGAGGCCTGGTGATGGGGCGTACTTTGCCTTGCTCCACAAAGGAAGCTTTGGTGCCAGGAACTGCATGTCCCCAGTAGCACCCCCTGCCTCATCCACCATGACCTCGGGAGGGCTAATTTGGGGACCCATCTCTATACAGAGTGTTCCCCCTCCCCTGGGTGCCTGCATCTGCCCCACACACAGCCAGCCCTCATCTGCCTCTGGGGCAAAGCCCAGCATGGCCCAGGGAGGCTGGAGGTCCTTACCATAGTCCTTCTTGCAGTACTTCTTCATGTTAATCTTGTAGTTGCCCTTGGCTGGCTTGCAGTAGGAGTCACAGTCTGTGGGAGAAGGACAGAGGGTTGAGCAGAAAGGGATGGATGGGAGGAATGCAGGTGAGGTGAGGGTGGCCACCGTGGAGAGCAGGCAGGGGCCATGGGCAAGGACAGTCAAGTAGAACTGTGGCCCTGCAGACTTGGTGATGTGGGAAGAGATGATTTGGTACCTATCCCACGGGTCTGACAGCAGACCAAGGGGCTTGTGATCCTCAGGGCAACTCAGCCCTCGGGGCCAGAGTGGGGAGAAGCACCCTCAGGGCAGCCCCATCAGAGACCTGTGCCTCCTTGGTTCCTATAAGCAAGGAAGGGGACTCAGGCTGGGGGAAGGAGGCAGGAGAGGGAAGTGGCTCTGCTCCACCAGGTCACTCCTGCTGCCCAGGCATCCCCTGCTCAGACTGCTCCAGAAGGGCTGTCCCCCACCACACACACATCCCTCCCTGCTGTCCCCCAAGGCTCCTGTCCTCCAGGAGGCTTTTTTTCTGTGCATTTCTAAAGCCTCCAGATTTGCATCTCAAGCAGAGGGAGGGCAGGGAATGCCTCTTTCCTTCTCCCCAAAGGCTTTGATCCCAACAATTGCCCGGAGCAGCCCTGTTCTTCTCTTTTCTTCCCCCTGCCATCTTCCTTTGAACATCTCAATTTGTCTCTTTCCAAATGGCATGTTTTTTCTAAGCCCATCTTTCTTCTTTTCTCTCCCTTTTTCAGGTTCTCCCTCTGGCTTGGCCCCGTGTCCCGGGACGGAGCCAGCAGCCTCTGAAGTTGTCTTTGTTTGTGGGTTGCCACAGCGATCACTGGGGATGGAGGCGAGGGTCTGGGGGAAGACGGGGAATAACAGCACCCCGTGCCAAGGGGAGGAGGAGAAATGAGGAAAGAAAGAAGCCCGGGAGCACAAACTCACCCTGGGCTCTGCTGTTCTCCTCTCTGCCCAGCTCCTTTTTATCTGGGGCTTCGTGCTGCCTGTTCCAAATTTGTCAGCGACAGGAGCAGCGCAGCACGAAGCTAATTCTTGGCAGAGGGGGGTGAGCCCTGATTTGCAGCTCATCCCCCCCACCCCGTGCTCCCCATTGCCCCCTTGCCTGGGCTGGCAGAGCTGCCTTGGCCCTGCTGCGTCGGGACCGGGCCCTCCCCGTGCAGGGGGGCTGCTGAGCACACTGGAGGGCTCGGTGCCCTCATCCCCTGCACCACGGGGAATGCTGCAGCCTCAGCCCACTGAATCCCCTGGGATATGCCACAGCCCATTCCAGACTGTTGCATCCCCTGAGACGTGCCAGAGGCCCAGCCCTGCCACACTGCTCCGTCCCTTCCTGCTCTCTCTAAAAGAGGGCTCTCACCTTATTTTGGGGAGTGCCTGTCAGGACAGGAGACCTTTCCCTCCCCAAGCAAAGGGGCACAAAACCCATCCTGCAGCCGGCAGGGTGATGGGTGGTGCCACCAGGCTGGGGGGGCAGCCTTGGCCAACCTGCCACTCCCCCCCTTGGTGATGGGGACAAAGGGAAAACAGAAAGAAATCCAGTAACTGCCCTGGGCTCCTGCTCGTGTTTAAGAACATAACACTGTGATCCAAAAGAGGCAGAAAATGGGTTTGGGAATTGACAGTTTAGGATTAGTTTGGGGATTTTTTAACCACGGCTTTGCGCAGAGGAACATTATTCAAATGTAAAATCAGTTCCTGCTCTGTTTATGTAAGAAACTCGGGAAGAGAAAAAAAGTTCATGTAACTGGAAGCGTTTCCCTTCCTTGCCCCCAAGAACAGGGCCTCCCTCACCGGGTGTGGGCAGACATGGGTGCTGTGGCTGGGAACTGTCTGTGCAGCTGGGTGGGGCAGCTGAACCCC